GCACTGTAATTTTATTTATTAGGTAACTGAGCCCCAGTGAGGTTAACTGGATTTAAAATTTCTAGTAGAACTCGTGTAGAAACTATGAGCTTATTATTCAAAGTCCTATGTTTAATTCTTTCATTAGACTGATGTAACTCTTGCACATAATAATTCTCAGTGAGTTTATACCTGAATTTTCCAGACTGCTTCTGGGAAATAACTTTCATTACTTCATAGTATGCAGCAACACTTTTAATACATATAGGAAATACTTTTTCTATATCCTGCAGTTTATAATATAGCCTCTAGAAGTACCCAGCTTCTAGTAAGAGCCTGGGAAAATATTATTTATAAAATAGTCAATGAAATATATTATCACACCATCATCAAATCCTTTTGATAAATTGGGATAACTGGTAACATGATGTCTACTTTTTATTTTATATATTTTAAGTTTTGTGTCTACATCTACTTTTTCTATAATGTTCTTTGGATAGTTAATATCATGATCGTATGCTTACCTGATTTCAAAACCTTTTAAAAGTGGCGCATTGGGCTTAAATGCAAATATTACTTTCTTATTGTCAGAATTCATGGAGTTTAACACTTGCAGTTTGGATGGAAATATAGAACAAAATTTGCACACCGCTTGTGAAAAATGTGTTTTTTCCTTATTCACCAAGTGATAGACCTAGAGACAATGGGCAGTTCTAGGTAGGTAATGTGTGTAAATGTAATATTTAAATGTAAGTATACATGTAATTGTGAATATTGATATTGGATGATTCAGGTTAATACATGCATCTGTAAATGCTCACACTGAATTTATGCTATTCACAGTAGTGTTAATTTGAAGATTTTAGGTCTCCATATACGTTGTAGTCCTGCTATGAAAGTTTTGCTGCCCAAAATTTAGTTTATTTGCTTATGCTAAATAGTCAGGCAAGCTTGTAAAAATTAGTTTGCAGCTTACTTTAATTTTCATGTTCATAAGAAATGTTTGAATACCACAACATGTTCCTTTGAAAATAGAATTATGAAATCCTCCAAATGATCTAATAAATTTTTATTATATACTCTATCTGCACGCCCTCCATAATTAAAGTTCCTAGTGTATATTACTTATCCGAGTGATGGATACTATGTAAAACAGTGCTACTTTTAATAAAACTTCTATCATTTCTTAATGATCACTACTTTTAATTTTATCAAGATTAGCAAAGCACACAGTTGAAGCCTGTTTAATTCAAAGTCTTAATGACTTTCAGTCTTTCTCACTTTCAGAACTTGAAGGATTTAGCAATACTGCAAAATTGCCATGTTTTTTATGTACCCCTTGATAAGTTATATATATATATGTACTCCTTGATAAGTTTTATTTATATATTATATATATCATATAACATGTTTTATGTACCCCTTTACCCCTTGATAGGTTTTATATATATATATATATATATATATATATATATATATGGCAGGTATATATTGTCTTAGGGCACAAAATTATCTGTAGAAGAAATGAAAATATTCCTCTAAAACTTTAATTTACATGTATGGTCTCCATTGTACTCACTATCAGAAACTAAGCCCCAGTCTATTCACTTCTCTTCTTTCTCCCTGGGATTGCATCGTTATACCAAGACGCTTACACTGCCTAAGCATTTGGGGTGACATTTGGTCCTTGGTAGCCTCATGATCCAACTGGCATTTGCCAAGATGTTCTTCTTCTTACTGTCACTTAGTCCTCAGTCACTGCAGGTCACCACTCTTTTCTCCTTTGAGGATCTTGTGGTCTCTTGTCCTCAGTTATCCTGAAATATCACTCTCTCCTCAGACCTTTAACACCTAAAGAATAAAGGTCCCACAACCTAGGACTTGACCTCAGGTAGCAGAACACAGAGAGCCATTCAAGACCAATTCTGTTTATTTCTCTGCAAATCTTCTCTAGCCTGTGAATCAAGAAAACAGTTCCTCCAACTCATGAAATAAACAACAAGGTCTTACTGATGTTGGTTTTCTTCTCTGTTTTTGTTTATGTGCTGAATCATTTTCAACACAATAAATGGCTAGGGTTTTTTTTCAACTCAAAATGTCTGTAACATTAGGAAACACAAAATATCTTTAACAGCTTCTGTGCTCTGTCGTCCACCATTTTTGGCAAAGGATAGTGTTTAGTGAATGGGGAATGGCAAAGGAAGCAAGGAAATGGGACAGGGAGGAAATCCCATACATTTCAAACTACTATCCCACTACATAGCTATTTCCCTTAATCAGTTTAAGAGATTCCTTACAATCCTATAAGAAAACATTATAATTGTCAATTTTAGAGATGATAAGACTGAAATTTATTGCTGCTGGCTCACTTTCCTGAACCCAGGTCTAGCCAGTTCTCCATCTTCACTGCCTCTTTGAATAGGGATCCTCTAAGTCAATGCTAGCAAAACACTCTATAGCAAGACTGGCAATGGGTACCTAAGGTCTAAAATGAAGATGAAGACAATTAAGATTTTTTAATTAAATAATTAGTAAGGATGAGAATCGAAAAACTCAAAAGCCCAGAAGTACTTACTATATTTTAATGCTCTAGCAGAAATAGGGTAAAAATATAGTACAAAAAATGTTCACACGTATTACAGATATTTTACTGTCAAATATATAAGTATCCCAACCCCTTATCCTTGGAAACAAACTACACCAAATCAATTATTTGATAAAATAAGCGTGTTTTTCCTCCCACTTACAAGTTGTGTTTCCTTCAATGTCAGATTCATAATGTTTCACAACATTAATTCATGTTAATTAAGTTCTTATCTGACTTTTGATTGAGTGGTTCAGTCATACCCAAACTTATGTAATTACATTTAAAGTTATAGAAATGGTCTATAACAAGTGGAAATAGAAATGGTCACAGATACATTATTCAAGATGGTGAATATTTGGGGGTGTATCAGAGGACATCACTTATAAATATATATTTAAACATTCAGATTTTGAAATTTAGATACTCTGTGCAAAGTATAAGGATTATGAATGAAAAAATTATGGGTGATTCTTTTTGAAGTTTTCAAATGTTCTGTGAAAACGTATAATTTGTGTTTTAAAAAAACACCGAACAGGGCTTCCCTGGTGGCGCAGTGGTTGAGAGTCCGCCTGCCGATGCAGGGGACGCGGGTTCGTGCCCCGGTCCGGGAAGATCCCACGTGCCGCGGAGCGGCTGGGCCCGTGAGCCGTGGCCGCTGGGCCTGCGCGTCCGGAGCCTGTGCTCCGCAACGGGAGAGGCCACAACAGTGAGAGGCCCGCGTACCGCAAAAAACAAACAAACAAACAAACAAAAACACCGAACAGACATTTCTTTAAAATATATATATTCAAAACCTCACCCTCCAGGGATTTTATGAAGGTATCCAAAAGGCCTGTAGGGATGAATGTTTCAAAGTTGCTTTAGTGAGTGAAAAAAATTTTTAAGTGTTGAAATCACTTCTTCAAAATGCTGGCTGTAGTCCTTCAATATCACTTTCAAGTGTTTAATTTCAACTTTACTACTGAGAGAGAGGGCTGATCTTCAGTGCTCAAACTATTTGGTGTGGTTCTGTCTGAAAAACCACACTGGGACTGTAGCCTCAAAGGAGACCTGTTGCTCTGGATGATGGTGAATGTGAGCCTGAAGGGACTCTTGTCCTGAAGTCCCGAGGTCACGAGGAACACAGGCAGTTACAGCCCCAGAGCAAGCTATTATCCAAAACGATCAACTCCAGGATAAGATCTCTTATCACACCAAGTGCTTTTTTTTTTTTTTAACATCTTTATTGGGGTATAATTGCTTTACAATGGTGTGTAATTTCTGCTTTATAACAAAGTGAATCAGTTATACATATACATATGTTCCCATATCTCTTCCCTCTTGCGTCTCCCTCCCTCCCACCCTCCCTATCCCACCCCTCCAGGCGGTCACAAAGCACCGAGCCATATCCCTGTGCCATGCGGCTGCTTCCCACTAGCTATCTACCTTACGTTTGTTAGTGTATATATGTCCATGCCTCTCTCTTGCCCTGTCACAGCTCAGTCATAAAAAGAAACGAAATTGAGCTATTTGTAATGAGGTGGATAGACCTAGAGTCTGTCATACAGAGTGAAGTAAGTCAGAAAGAGAAAGACAAATACCGTATGCTAACACATATGCATGGAATTTAAGGAAAAAAATGTCATGAAGAACCTAGGGGTAAGACAGGAATAAAGACCAAGTGCTTTTTACGACTATATTCTTGTTTCTGTATTTTGCCTTCCTTTGCTCTTTCTCTAGGTTTATATTTGGAGATAATTTTGAAAATGCCTCCCAACTATCTTTTTTGCAGGCACAGCTATCTAAAACACTTGTGTATCACCCCTCATTTAATTTTTCTTTCTCAGACTAATGTCATTCATTCTGTGGACATTTTCTTGGGCCGGTAGAGGTCAGGTGATGTAGGAAATATCTTACATCTTCATTTTAATTAATGTCTAGAAGTGTAAAAAGTCCCTTGAGAATTTTTTAGTTTACAGAATTTTGACTGGGCACATTTGGAAGTTTGCAATATTAATGATTTTCATTAAAACTCTCATCTTTGCAAGGAAAGGACTCTTTACTGAGGGATACTTACATGCTAACTTTTCTAGAAATTTATTTCTTAAGACTCCATCATTAATATTGAAAATGTGTAAAAGAGTTAAGCTAGTAAACTACCACGACCTACTTTTCATGTGCATTGTGAAGGGAAACAACACAAGAAACTGTTACTAAATCATTATAAAAGTGAGAGTAAATAATTGATGCTCACAAATGAAGAAAGAGCCAAAAAATAGACAAAGCAATCAAAAATCTTTCTAAAACTCATTTTAGCATTTTTTTATTTTTGGAAATGACAAGGATTTGTATGTATGCCTGCCTGTTTGTTTTAGTTGACTAACATTATCTTTGAGTCCAATGAAAACTTTTTTTCTTATCAGTATTAAGGTGTTTGTTTGTTTGTTTGTTTAAGGCTTGAATCACCAACCAGGTCCTTGATAATGGAAGCTCCCCGGGGGGTCCAGGTGAGTGCCGCAGCTGGAGACTTCAAGGCTGCCTGCAGGAAGGAGCTCCATTTGCAGTCCACAGAGGGGGAGGTGAGTTCTGAGGTGTGGACACTGGCCTTTTACTGCAGAGTGTGCTTCTTCTCAAATTATACGCATATGATTCCAGGAGAAACATAAGGAGCTACTTCATAAGAGGGCTCAAATTATGAACATATTAACACTTCTTAAATATGAAACTGGGTAAACCTAATGTTATTTTCATAAGTCAAAGCTCCATTTATTTTCTACTGAAAGATATTCATTCATAAGTCATTTACACGTGGGGCATCTAAGTTCCTGCAGTTTCAAAAATCGACAGATGAATGGACTGAATATCCAGGTAATACCCAGAATGAAGGCAGTCGTTGCTGTCTTGGTTCCATTTCTTCAAAAAGTTTTTCCAAAAAGTGCTTTGAAAGTTTGTGTGTTTGTCTCAGTAGAAATAGTACCTATATTTTTCTAAAAGGGAAACAAAAAGCAAAAGTTTATTTTGCTATTTCACTCAGTTATTTCCTAGATGAGATACATGCTGTTTTGCTTCCTTGTTGCTTTATTTCACGGAAGAGTCTGTTTAAACTCTGTTGTCCTCATTCCTTTAAAGATCCTCTTTCTCTTACTGCCTGATTTAAAGAACCCTTTGTCTTTGGGCTTCCATTCTTTCACTGGAATGTGATAGGCAGGTATTTATTTTGTCTCCTTTACTTGATGTATATATTGTGACTATTGTGTCTGCAGAATCACATTTTTGTCCATTCTGGAAATTCCTCAACATTACGTCTTCAGATATTCCCTCTCCCCCTTTTCTCTATGGCCTTTTTCAGACTCTCTGAAGAAATGTTATGTCTTTTCATTCCCTTACCTTCCAGATCTCTTAGCCTCTCCTTCCTCATTTCTATTTCTTTATTGCCCTATGCCTCACTCTGCCTATTTATTCAGATCTACATGCCAGGTTCCTCCTCAGTATCTAATCCCTTCTTCAATCCCTACATTGGGCTTTTAATTTCAGTAATTTTGTTATTCATTTCTAGGATTCTCATCTGTTGCTTTTTTTCAAATCTGCCTGGACATCTTGGTAGTTGCTCTCGCTTGCTTGTTTGTTTTTAATTCTACCTTCATTATTTCAAAGCCTTATGCATAATACGTATTCGATTCTGTATATTTTTACCACAATTCCCAAAGTCCTTGAAGGTCTAAATCTGTTGTGCTGCTGTTTCCACCAATTAATTCCCTTAATATTTTCTTCCTTCGTGTGCTTATTTATTTTTTTAATGAGTTTATAAAGGTCAAACTGAGAAGAAAAAGCTTGGAAGGATGATTTGAGAGTGACGCTCTGGAGCATCTCGGACCTCTTCAGATGTAAATATGAGGGCAGACATTAACAGAATCAAAAAGAGGATGTTCCTTTCTTACCTTTATACCAGTATCTCAGTTATTGATTCAAGATAAATTTGTATTACACATTTGGATTCCTTTTTATAAACAAACTTATTGCCAGGGTCATTAGCATCTTATCTGATATTGCAGCTTAAATAATCTAGAAATATGTTTTATAGTATTGAAAACATATATCCATATTACCTTTCACGATTCCTTCCTACTACAATTGCAGACTACAATACTTAGTCTACCACAGCAAGAGAGAAATCTTTCTTAAATATCTCACATCTTTTTTAAAGCATTTTTATCATGCTAATCATTTCATTCAAATTATTCATAATGAATCATCTCATAATAAATATTGATGGTTATTAATCTCCATTCTGCTTCTATTTATGCTCCACTTTACTTATGTTCTTTTATTCAAAGTATCAGCAGAATCCTTGAATTCAATTACAGATTAGCATTTAATTATGAATTGAGTAGTATTATGCTGTAAATAAGTCACAGCCAAAAGCTTTCAGCTGTGGCCATTTTTTATATTAATAAAATAAATATACGGAAAAGCACAGCACTTTCTATTAGAATGAAATAGCATGTAATTTTTCTAGGAAGAAGTATGAAATGATATAAAATCTTTCTCTTTGCTTCATTGACTATGCCACAGAAAGGCAGATCCACCAATTATTAAATAATACAGAAAAATATAAAGTCCCTACTCTTAGGTAGTGTTTAAATTAATTAAGATCAGGGCAAACATGGTGTTGAGGTAACCAAAATAAGTAAGAATGAAATTGCACACAAAGTTCTGCACTGCAGAAGTTTCATTCATTTCAGACACCGTATTGCAAGGAATTTCAAATTCAGCTCTGAAAACAACATGAATGACAATTGTAGGTAAAACATGGAAAGTTATAATAGCATATGCAATGCAATAACTTAATAACATATGTTACAAGATGACACAAATTTTCAATCTTGCAAACTGATTAAATGTTCTACTACAGGGATAGGTCTGATTTCAACAGGTAAGAATGGAATAAATGGATTCTTGGTAGAGAAAAGACAATGGGCTGTGACTTAAAAGCTCAGGGGTGTCATTCCGAGTACCAGGAAGAGTTTCACAGCAAATGGATTATATGGTTTATAGGGTGATCTGGAACAGAAATATCAATTTTGGAAGTTGGAGACTGAGCAGTGTCATAGTAAGTGCCTTAAGCAGAGGTATGAGGGAGTCCATCCAAGCTGCAGAAGCCTGGGAAAGCTGAGCAACGTGGGGTTGGAAAGAATCAATATACAACACACCCCTTTTTATCTCATAACTTAGTTTTCTGTCTCAAACCAAGAAAATATTTTTTCCCCTTTCTTTTCTTTTTCTTTCTATTTATTTATTCATTTATTATTAGTTTTTTTTTTTGTGGTACGTGGGCCTCTCACTCTTGTGGCCTCTCCTGTTGCAGAGCACAGGCTCCGGATGCGCAGGCTCAGCAGCCACGGCTCACGGGCCTAGCCGCTCTGCGGCATGTGGGATCTTTCCAGACCGGGGCACGAACCCGAGTCCCCTGCATCGGCAGGCGGACTCTCAACAATTGCGCCACCAGGGAAGCCCTCTTTTTGTTTTTTAAATGTAAAGCCATCATTTATTCAATCTTTCGTCCTTCTATGGATGGATGTTATATCTGTGAGGCTAACTTTCAAAATTCAGAATTTTATTTATATTCCTTCTTTTTCTTTATCCTTTCCTTGTTCCTTTATTATTTCTTCTTTAATTTTATATTATTATTGAGGTAAAAGTGGTATATAACACTGTGTAAGTTTCAGGTGTACAGCATTATAATTTCACATCTGTTTATACTACAAAGTGATCACCACCAAAGTTCTAGTTATCATCCATCCCCATATAATTAACCCCCTTTTTCTCTTTTTAAAGACCCCATTCATTTTAATTTACCTATTAATAAAAATCTACCTCCCATATATGGGTGAAGCTACAATGTGGATCTCAGAAGGTGATGGAATTAAGTATTGCCACATAGCCAAATATGATCAAGAGTCACCCGTAAATGGATAGGAGAGCTGGAGGGCACAGCTATAGCTAAACTGAAGCAGGCCACATACCATAAGATTCAAGGCTAACTCCATTGATAAGGCCACCACAGCTGGGCTTGCTTTCTGAGGCTGCCACCTGCATGTCCTACCTGTATAAAAACAGCTACTATCCACATTTATTCAGTCAGGCTACACCAACGGAAAGGCAATCAGTTCCAAACTATAAAACCCAGCGATGTGGCCTGGTGTCAGCAAGCCTCTGAAACCCACCAGGGCTTGCCAGTAACACTTGCATCTGTGCTTACTAAGAAATGAACCACTGACAATATCTTACAGTCATTTGATTAATCCTACATGAGCCTCCTTATCCACATGTTCTTTAGCTTTCCATGTTCCATTCTTTATTGTCTATGTCACAAGGTTTCTTGGACAAAACACCAGCTTCTAACACTTTTTCAGCATGAACTAACCTCCACATATGCAGACCTAAACCCCACAGTCCCAGAGCTTGTCTTTATAATACGTTTGGCATTGGCGAAGCTTGAGAATATCTACTCTCTGCAAGCATGCCAACTCCTCAGCAGAAGGGAAGAAAGGGGGATATGCTGTGCAAGCCCAGTTCCTCTGTCAAACTCAACCAGTAAGAGGAATCATCCCTCCTCCCCCGTGGAGAAGTGAGTGAAAGAACCCACAGGGTGTAGCAGTTGGTATTACACTCATTGATGTCCCTCATCATGGAAACACAGAGCAGGAAGAAATGAGGCCCAGCATTTATACCCCAAAAATACGTTGTCATTTTTTTTTACTTAGTTTTGTGCACTTTTAACTTTTGAATCAGAAAGATAGAAATTCATCTTAAAAAAAATAGAAGTCCTTTCTCTTTGCTTTCCTGTCACTTAATGTGGAAGAAATTATGAAGTAATAAATTTCAACATTCGATACCTACAAACAAAAACTTTAATTATTCTTTCTTAACTTTGAATACTGTTGGTAAATGCAATCATTTTTATTTCATAATGTATCCATTTATTCAACAACTATTTGTATTACATGGAAGCTGTACATGCAGGGTCAAGCACTGTTAAGTTATAAAAAATTCAGACTTAATTCTACCTTCAAGAAGGACATAGTTTATTAGGGAAAGTAGTATATCAATATGACTATAAAATAAGCTACCAAGTGATGAGCAAAATAAGATATTAATAATAAACTGCTACAGGAGAACCAAATAAGAAGAGTCTTTCCATCTTGGGGCACTAGGGAAAGGTCCATGGAGGATGAAGCAGATGAACTGGGCTTTGGTGGAGGGTGAGAATTGTACCCTAGAGGAGAGAGACATGTACAAGGTGAAGGAAAAGCATTACTTCATGCAACTTGTACTGGCACAATTCTATGCACTGTTCTATAGTCTTGAACCAATGACAGGCCCTGCCCTCATAGATATTACTTGCAAGTAAGAGAAATAAACAATAAATGAACAAATATACAATATACAATTGTGAACAAATACACAATATAATGTTTACTACAGAGTAAAGTAAAGCTGGTAAGGAGAGATTAATGGATTTGTGTTACTTTAATAGGGTGGTTAGGAAAGTCCTCTTTTAGAGTGTGAACTTTTAGTAGAGATCCGGACAAATATGCTCACATCTAAAATTAAAATTAATCTAAAGTATACATGTCTATGGTATAGGAATTCTTTTTTCTGGCTTATTCTTAGTGTGCCATAGATTCCTATATTTCAAAAAAATTTACAGCATAAAAAGGCAAACAGGGGAAATCTCCCTCCTACCTCTGTTCTCTAACCACCCTGTTAATATCTATCCCCACTTGTAAATATTTGGAGAAAAGTTTTTCAGGCTAGGAAAATGAGGAGTTAAAAAGCCCTGAGGCCAGGGTTGTTTTGGTGTGTTTGAGAAAATGTGAGAGTTCGTGCAAGAAGAATTGTAGGAAGTGATGTTAGAGAGATAGGCCAGATCATACAGGGCTTGTGAGCCGTGGAAAGGAATCAAGATTCATTTCAAGCATGGTGGGAGGCCGTTAGAGAAACTTGAGCACTGGTAGGACATGATTTGGTTTGCATTTCTTAGAAGTTCACTCCAACAGCATGTACAATAGACTGTAAGAGGACAAGAGTGGCCACTGGGAGGCCAATTAGGGGGCTATTGCAAGGGTCTTAGTAAGAAATGATTAGGACTAAGGTGAGAGCAAATGTGTAGAAAATGGAATATTCTCTGGTTCTCTTGTCAATTTAGAAATGCCTTTAGGCCGTAATTAGCTATATAACAATAGAATCAAGACATAGCTAGAGAGAGTTTGTTTCTTTGCTCATTCAAATTCATGATCCAATTTTCCTTTCTTTGTACCGTTCCCCATGCATGTCAAAACCATATGATCTCTGGCCCTGAAAGTGTTGTGTCCATGATTTGGAGTAAATGAAGTAATTTTGCAAGTTAGAAGATTTAGCAACATGGGTGTTAAGTACAGGTCATATATTTCATGGAGTCTTCAAACCTGATTATATCTAATAGTTATGTTATGTACTATGCACATTATCTACTTGGTGTAGATTGGGAGTCAACGTGACTTTATGAGTATTTAAAAAAAAATTAAACCAGAGAGTAAAATTTTTTTAATTAATTGCCCATCACTTCACTAATGGCATCTCCATAAACATCCTTATTTCTCTGTATATTCTTTAGACTGGCATGTTTAAGTTAAATTAACTGACAGTCAGAAGCATTCATTTTCTGTGGTGTCTGAATAACCGGGTTGGCCCCTTAAGCAGATTATACAATCCCGCTTTTCATTTCGAGGGGGCATTCTCTCAGAATGTACTGTGTCTCAAAGGCTCAGGTAGCCGCAGAGCGTTTGGGCTGTACCGTAGCAACGCAATTTGTTGGTTCAACAAGGTTTGGCAGCTAAACCAACAAAATTGTTCGTCCTGTGGTCTTTCTTATTAGACCATGCTGTAAAATAAAGCCCTTAAGAATATAGGATGCTAAAAGGAATTAAAATGCAATTTCTTTCCCCCTAGATATTTTTGAATGCGGATACAATCCGGCTGGGAAACCTGCCAACCGGCTCTCCTTCCTCTTCTTCACCCAGCCCCTCCCACTCTCGGCAGACAGTGCACGAACTGTGTGTCTGCCCCAACGGCAAACTGTACCTGTCTCCAGCTGGGGCCGGGTCTACCTGTCAGTCCAGTAGCAACATCTGCTTGTGGAGCTGAACTGACTGATTTCTCCTCACACCAGAATAGCCTTTTGTTCCCGTGCGTCTCCTTCACAGTTCTGCTCCGTTTCCCTCGTGATCAGTCCAGAGCTTCTCCAAATGGTCCACAGAGCAACTCCTTCCAGTGTAAGCAGGGATTCGCACCACCTTCTCTCGTGATTTTCTGTACTGCTCAACACGGAGAGTGTGAGTGACAGAACAGTGGAAAAACCATCTTCAGCAG